AAAACGTTTTGGACAGCCAAAATTCTGGAGGTTGAACGTACTCTGGCTCAATTGTTCATAATACTCCCCTCCCCCTGTTCAGAAAGAACCCCCCCCTTGCCCGCGTAATACATACGCCAAATATAGTACCATTATATCATAGGGGAAATATGCCTTGTTAGCGGGGTTATCCTCACTGAAAGGTGATTACCTAGGTCCTCTTTTACAAAAGGATGGTCTGCGCTTTCATGCAATCTAGTCGCGTAGGTGTGGGGCTGAACACTCAGCAGGCTTGGCATGCAGGTATTGTTCTGCATCGTTGATTTTTGAGTTTCTCAGAGAAGTCACTAGGGTTTAGGGTCTAGGGTTCTCAGGAGTTATGTGAGGATCACTCCAAGAACAATCACTGAGGCTCAGACATATAACCATTGCACAGGCACACCCTTTTCAAGCAGCGGTGGTATCGGCACCAGATTCATTGTACAACTATGCTCTAGGGTATCCCAGGTAGACCTGAAAACGGTATTGGAATTTGATTTGTCGCCTGCATTACATGCTAAACCGCAAGCCCAAGCCGTTCTTCACAGACAAGCAAGGGCGGCCCGGCACGGAGACATTCGTAGAATTTTTTGAGTCAAGGGAGGGGCAGGGAACAGCTCATTGGCGTTTAGAGTGGAGGATTGAGCGGCAAGGATTTAGAGATTGGGGTTCATTGTTTTGGTTCAGGGTGGGGTGCAGGATTCAGAAAGTGGGTGTAGAGGTGCATAGAAACTTGGCAAGATCTTAGACAGCTGGCATGCTTAAGATGTTTTAGTTGTCTGCAATATATATATATGTATATGTATATATATATATATATGTATATATATATATACATATATGCGTGTGTACATGTATATTACGCACTTACAGTATAATGCATTCCAAAACCCTCTTCTTGTTGCTTAGACTGCCAGAGTAATACCTTTGTCGTCCAGGGCCCACCTCGATTTCTAAAACGGCTTGTTGATTGGGGTCCTGCTATCTCCTATTTTCCCGCTACACAACCGGATTCCATGCATGGAGGAGGTTATTTATAGATTGTCCCAAAGACCAGCTGCTAAAGCAAGCAATGTAGGCTTGTGAAGCGGCAGCATATTTATTGCATGCAACATACAGCGAGATCAAGACACATTGAGAAAGAGAGAGAGAGAGAGAGAGAGAGAGAGAGAGAAAGATGGGGGAGCGAGAGAGAGGGAGAGAGGGAGAGTTCCTCCTGGCTATGGTTCCCTGCCTTTCCCATTGACCTGCTTTCGGCTGTGGAAAAACGAATGGACCCAGGGTCCGGCAAGCTTCTCACGAGGGTGTTGGGTTTTCAGCTATGGGCATTGTTGCAGCTTAATCCCCTCCCCTAGGAATGAAACATATCCAGCCCCGCAATAGCAAACCTTCCCAATAGAGTCCAAGTATGTCCAAGTATTATATACCTCCGGAATCCAAGGTCCCTCACTGGGGCCCAGACTGAGCACCAAACCATATTGACATATATAAGGGGGATCCCCTTTATTTATGGAGATTCCCATGTGGTAGTTGTTGAAAATACTTGTCCCCAAAAATCGCCATGTACGTTCCCTGCTTGGCAAGGATCTTCTTCTAAGGAAGTGTATTCCTAATGTCTCCTTCTAAACCCCGAAACCCGCAGCCCTAAACCCAGTGGTCCCTTCTTTACAAGGATCATCAAGACAATCCCCATGTATCGTGGTGCAAGATTTCCTCATCCACCTTAAGCCCTGAAGGTGGAATTTTTGGAATAAACATAACGGGGGCATTGTGCTAAACGATATCCATTCAACAGTAGGGTCCACTTCCGGATTTAGTACAGAATTTTGGCACCCAAAGTGGTTTTCTATTCGCATACTCTGTGGCCATTTTTTTGGCTTTTGGGTAAGCGGTAAGCCCTAAACCCAAGGAACTTGAGGGTATGTTTCTGTGGCCCTAGGCCTCAGGGCTTGCACGAGCCCGAGGGTCCATGTGGAGATTTCCGAAAATTAGGGTCCTGTCTGGAAATTCGAAAATGCATGTATGTAGAATAATAGTTGGGTCTGGGGTTATCCTTTACCTACTTTTGGGTCCAAGTAAAGATTATATTATTTGGGGTTATGTCAGAGTGACTTCCATTTTCGGAGATGTCCATGTAGTCAGCAGCCTTTTTTAGGAGCTTCTCCATGAAGACCAGAAATCAAGGAGCATTGTGAAAGTCCCTTTGGATCTCGAACCCCCAAAATGTAGACACATTCTAGGTGGCCATTCCCTGCTTAATCTCATCACACGAAATCCCAAACCCCAAGCCCTAAACTGTAGTACCCTCGTATGACCCCACGTAACCCCTATCTTACCCCTACACCTTCTTCCAAGTATAACGCGAGTGGATGCATGGCACGGATGACAGCGTGGTTTAAGCTGTGGTCCCATACGGCGATCCTATTGAAATTGCCCGGCTTAGGGTTTAATTTTCCGACCGTGTTGGAATACCATAAGTAAACACTAATGAAGAGATCCGATTCCTGACTGGGTTTTAGGACAATAAACATTGTGAACGGCAATCACATTCAGAAAAGGCCCAGGGTTGAAATGCTGTCGTCACATGAACTATGGAGATGCTCCTTTACTCTTACTGGGGGTTAGTAGGGAATAAGGGAATATACTTTTTATACCCTCTACATACTATATTCCTTGAAGCAATCACTGAAGAATAAGTACAGAATAAAAATCCCTATATATAAACATAATATAATTTATTCCCTGATTCCCTTATTCCTTACTTAACCCCGGTAGGTTCTTCCGCACAGACGTCTTTTTGACTTCATGTTGGGCCTACCCGGACCTCCATATACCCTACCCCTTTTCGAGGTCGTATAAGTTTATGTATGTAGAAGATACTAGGCATAAAGTTTGTTGTCCTAAAAAAGGGGTCGAGGATAGGGATTTAGGTATTTGTTGGGAGAGCTTTTTGGTCATGCTGAGTAGACGGCGTCAGGGGTGTGCGAGAGCCCTCAACATGGTTGATGGGCATTTGGTGAGCATATGTGAGCATTCAAAAATGAGGGTTCCCCCTCCTTCCTGGCACTCATGCAGGCCCAGGGCACACACAACGGTACGAAACTGAAGGGCACCAAGTATTCTGGACGGTTCAGATCAGCAGATTTGGATGTCAGGTCCGGCGGATTGCGCGCTTTTCGGGCGAAAAGGCTTCCCGCTGCATGACAGCTTAGAAAAGAACTAAGTTGAGAAATCTCGTGCATGGAATCATCCAAGGAGCGGCACCAGATGCCAAAAAGTCATCATCTCCAATCCGTCCTTGTACGTCCTCTGTTGGAACTTATTTCAACAAATCCTTCTATTCCCAACATCAGATGACAAGGCGTGCATAGCTAGATAGTGAAGTCTGCTTGGAGTCATCTGAAAAGAACGGCGTCCCAAGGCATGCATCTTGAGGGAAGATCAAGGGAAATAACTGCAAGAGTGCACATTTTGGCCCTCAACACTGCAAGCTTAAACCCTATCTACAGTCCAAACCGTCATAGACGCAGATCCGTACGTCCACCAATAGCAAATGTAGATACTGTTGATGGATGTTACAAAAGCCTGCATGACCTTAGTATACTTTAGTACCAGATTTTTCGAGGTATTAGGTACCTAGGGTCATATAGGACTTGTAGTATTCACCGTAGGGCTTAATAGGCAGTACTTGTAGACTTAGATGCCCGCGTGCAGGGTCAGGGGGACATAGTGCGAAGATTGGTAGCAAAAGGGAGCTTCTGAGGCTTCAAAGCATGCTTGCTAAGTCCCCATGCCACTCGAACCCTACTCCCTCATCCTTGAACCCTAATTGCTAATCCTTTAATTTAAGCCCAAACACCAGGCTTTGCGCAGCCACTTTGGATCTTAGCCGGACCCTTGCTATTGTGCTTTAGTAGTACGTGTTTGCACAGTGTGATAGCCACCCACACACAGTTGGTGGGTGGCCAGGAACGGAGGAACAGATCCCTCCAGCAGTCCATATACAACCCCTGTAAGTTACAGCCAACAACGCACTACTTCAGTAGCGGCTGACCATCAGCGGGCGTCGTTGCGGTGCTAGGCCTCAGTGGAAGGTTGGGACTTCGGGTTCCTGAAGGGGCCTAGGGTTTAGGATTTCGGGTGTAGGGGTTCAGGGTTTAGGATTTCGGTTCGGGGTGCAGGCAGTGTAGGGTGTGAAGTTCAGGATTTGCAGTTGATAGGGCTTAGCGTCCAGGTTTCAGGGTCTAGGGTTTTGAGCTTGGTGTAGGATTTAGGGTTTAGGTTTAGGGTGTAGGGTGCCTTCCTTGGGGACTAGATCATTCCCCAACAGCCAATGTTCCATGCACCCTAGGCTTTATAGTAGCGTACGTTAGAACGTATACTCACTAGGATGTTAGGTTTCACGTAGTTCCCAAGGCTAGTTTTTTGAAAGTCTTTCCCATTCTTCCAGATTTTATTTGGCTGGGGGTTGAGGGATATAATAGACTGGTTCCTTTCTTGCGCTGTATGCGGTCCGAGTACCTTGAATCCGCATCCTGCATGGCACTGCCTACTACCAGAATCAACCGTACCTACAGTAGTTATTGGGCACTTGGATCCTTGGGGATGTAGAGTCCCATTGGAGCAGATAAATCTTGTTGAGGTCAGGCGCCTCAGCAAATCGGGATAAGCGAAACCGTGAGTTCTTGGGATAATGTGGGGCACCTCGAGCATGCCACTCTTCTTTTTTCTGGGCGGCGTCCCATCAATCAGTTGCTCTACGAACTCCCCGGAAAGCAGAGGTCTCTGGATTGGATGTTCTAGTTCGCTACAGGTCTGTCTTTTTACAATGTGACATGCAAGGTAAGGTCCACGTAGCGTGCACAACTTCACGAACGCGGCCCTCTCCAACCCTCGATTACTAAAGCGTTGCGCCTAACACCTGATACTTGGATTGGAACACAAGGCTATGGCCCACACCCTGCTCAGCCACTCTGAGGTGAATGGCAAACCGCACAGACCCTGATGCGGATACCGTCCACGGGGCGAACCCGCAGTTTCTGGTAGATCGGATTATCCGCGTCAAGATTTACAACGATGTCCCTGGGCCTGCCTTCATGAGTATGAGTTTCAATGACTGTGGTTAAGAGTCAGAACGGTTTGTCTAGGATCAGAAGCTACCGCCGGCGTGACGAAACTCACTGTCAGATTCAGCACGGATATTGTGTGTTTCGCTCACACTTGTTGCAAACCCACATCCTGCTCTTTAGTACCAAGAGTTGACCCTGGCTGAGCAGAGGCTTACTGGAAGGAGTACTGCTTCGGCTTGACGACGGAGTCCCTCATCGACGAGGCGTGCAGAAGCCTTGGGTCCTAGCCCCCACACGGCTTGGGGTTTGGGGTCCAGGGTTTGGGGGCTTATGGGGTTGGGGTTTGAGCTGTAGGGCTCGTGGGGTTACTGCTGTCTTAGCATTGTCGTTAGTGTTTTGTTTAGGGTGTTGTCAAATTATGTTTCTACACTCCCTATATATCTACATATACTCCATAATCCCCTATATTATCCCTATAACCCTTATATAACCCTCATATAACTCCTTATATTCCCCATGTGTGCTTCTTATACAATGCTTCTGTGTGTTATCAGCTGCCTGCTGGGCATGATCACATCGTTATGCTTCGAGCAAGGATGTTGACAGTGACCTTGATTGCCCTAAGGGTCCTAGGACCCAAATAATAGGGTTTCAGAGCCCAAATACCATTTATGTTACAATATTTGGGGCCTAGAACCCTATTATTTGGGTTGGACCCTTAGGATTCGCAAATGCTTATTGTTGTTTCATGCTGCCACGGGTTCACATATAGTCGTTGTCATCTCATGATGAACCTCGCATATCATGCATGTAGAGTGTAGTCAACACTCCTTAAAACCCGATCCTCGATTTTTAAGCCGTTAAGCCACAAATAAAAAATTGACCTTTTGACACTTGGGACCTGAGGCCTATACCGTCGCGAAAGTACCCAGTGTTCTACTCTAGGACCCTAAGCCAACAATGAGGATACCTCCCAAACAGTATATGGATCGCACCCCTCCATGCAAATAAGCATGGAGTCCCCTGCGAAGCCCTTTTGGGTTAACTCTCCGAGTTGGGGTTTAGTATTTAGGCGGCCTGCTTTTGGCTTCCATTTTTTCCTGGGGTAGTGTAAACCTCAAGGTGCGGCCTCATCATCATCAGCTCCCCTATTATGAATTGTACTTAGGGTTCATTGCGCCTAGCTAAGGGGGAGGTCAAGGGGTAGTATAGGGACCCATGATATCAGTGTCATCGGCCTCCGTGACCGCCCCCTAAGCTTTACCTGCACCCGGGGGTTGGGGTTTTTCCGAAGCCAGAAGTGGATCCCAAATCAAGTGTGCCGGAATGTCTAGTAAACCCTATGCACCCTAAACCTTGGGCCCCAAGCACTAAGCCCCAAACCTTAAATCCAAAACCCGAAGCCCTGTGTACACCGGAAACCCTAAACCCTGGGCAGGTCATAAGAAGTACGAGGATAACTGGGTCATAATTGCCATGAACCTCCACTTACTCCCAAGACAATTGCCAGAGGCTGCCAAGCTGGACTATGTAGCGGGCACGCCACTTCGCCAGCATTGCTTGGGAGGGAGAAGAATATTCATAGTGGAGAATCCAATTGAAAACGAGACGCAAGCTGTCAGGGGTTAATAGGGTTTAGGGTTTCCACGTATAAGGGGGGAACCTCCGTAAAAAGGATGATGGCGTATTTGGGTTTATATCGCGGTTACATGGGGTGCCCCTTTATTTGGACCCAAGTTTTGGAACGAGCCCTCCTCAAGTGCAACCCGTATACTCTTCCCACACTTAGTCATGATAGATCCCTGAACTTCCCCACAGTCTCATATCTTTGAAAAGATTCACATTCTATAGAATCCCAAGAAGGACCCCGTAACCCCCTAATAACCCCTCCCTATTTCTTGGGGTCCCACATGACTCTTTCCAGAGGTCCCTCAGAATACTATCAGCGGTTTTTGGCAGGGGTGGTGGGCCCCTCCACCTGGTGGCCCAGACCGTACCGTCCTGCATGTCCTAACCTGCCCCACAAAGGAAGCCGCATTAAGATATCATTGTAGTGATAGTATGGGTCATAAATCATAAGCCTCTTCGAAGGCTCATCTTAGCTTGCTCAGCCTCTCTTGCACTTTTTCCGCACGCCTCCAAACCGCCAACCCCATGCCTTCGCAAAAGCCCCTAGACCCCAAACAACCCCTCACAAGCAATAGGTTTAGGGTTTAGGGTTCAGGTGGGCAATAGTAAGCCCCAACACTGAAGATTCAAGGTTTAAGTTATCAGCAGGACGGGGCCATAAATTCCAAACCCCTAAGTTTACACCATCAACAAGTGCTAGTGTCTCAACATCAGCTGCATATGAGCTATAGTCTAAACTCCTTAAAGGGGGTGATATAGGGGATAATATAGGAGTTTCTTATAGGGGTTATTAAGGGGGATACCAGGAGTTTAGACTATGGCTCATATAGCGCTAATAGGGGATCCCCCTATCCCTTGGTACTCGCCATCCGAAGGGAAGAAATTACCAGAATACAACGCCAAACTTCAGCCATGAACAGTCAAAAGCCATTAATCCCAACCCTGTAGTCCCCGTTGAGTAGATAGAATATGGGATATATGGGGATCTTATGATAATATACCCAAAGGCATTTTCTATCTACTTAAGGGGGACTAGAAGCTTAAATCATCAACAGCATGAATAAAGCCCACAATTCAATCTTAAACCATCAATAGTATAAAGCCCTAGATTCCCAAATTTCAGCGACAGTTTTAGGCAAACAAAGGCATAGAACCCTCAAATGCCCAAACTTCAGCTTAAGTCCCGAAACCCTGCATCAACAGAAGCGCTACATCAAGAGCATCCCGAAACCCTCAACCATCCTTCCCAGCATGACTGAAATAGAAAGAGGATAGCTATCACATGACTCTACTGGTGTTCTAATGTAGGGGGGTTGGAGTTGTCATGTTCTTTTCCGTCCTCCCTATATAACCCCAATATTATAACCCCAACATACTCCCTATATAACCCTGTAATATGGTAGTTCCCATTTTCTTTGCCATTCTCCCCTGTTATTATGAAAGGTTACCCTAAACCCCTAAACCCCTAAACAACCCTGTTATTGTGAAAGGTTACCCTAAACGCCTAGACCCCAAGCCCTAAACCCTTAAACCCTAAGCCCCTAAATCCGAAACAACCCTGTGATTATGAAAGGCTACCCTGAACCCCAAACCCTAAACCCTAAACAACCCTGTTATTATGAAAGGTATGGAGGCCGCAGACGGCCGGCTCGCTTCCTCTGCCTCTTCCTGAAGCTGCTTCAGATTCAGCCTGAAGAGGCCGGGTTTGGGGAGTTTAGGTTTAGGGTTTGGGGTTTAGTTTTTAGGGTTTAGGGCTTAGGGTTTAGGGCTTAGGGTTCAGGGTATAGGGTTTAGGGCTTAGGGTTTAGGGTATAGGGTTCAGGGTACAGGGTTTAGGGAGTAGGGTTTTGGATGTAAAGTAAACTTCCAAAGGAAATCCAAGGGCCAAGGCCTGGATTCAGGGTGTATGGTTTAGGGTTTAGGGTTTAGGGTTTAGGGTGGTAGGATTACATGAGGTCTGGGTTTAGGGGGTAGAATTTTGGAATTTGAGTTCAGGATTAGGGGATCTACAGCTTTAGGGTTCAGGGTATGCTAGACGGCCGAAAGAAGCGACCCACCCTAAGAGTCCAAGTGCTGACTCATCATCTGCTTCTCCACAAAGCCTGTATATACCACAATTACTGTTACCCTGATTAAGGGATTACACTACTACCCCCCCAAAGGTACTCCCCCCAGATTTAAAACCCTATTAGGCCTTATTAAGCTCTATATAGCCCTTATTAGCTCCTTAAACCCTGGGGGGTACCTCTGGGGGGGGTAGTATTGCAATCCCTTACTAATCCCATGCACTCAAGTATTGAGTGTTCGGACCCTAATAGGGGCATTGCAGAAACCTTATCAATAAGCCAGAAAACGCCCACCAACGCTGCAGGAAGTTGTCATGGAGTACATCAAGCAGCCTGAGCTGAAATACCTGCGGGCGCTTGGTTGCGCGTACCTTCGGATTACAGCCAGGCCTGCCACAAGGGACTACCATATTACGATCTGGACGTATTGCTATATTGCCATGCGGCCGTATTACTATTCTTACTACTATGATATGTTAGTACTCTTTGAATATTACTTTCACTCTGGCCAGGACAATGTAAGAACTCCCGATCTCTTAGGTATGTGGATTTGTTTTGTGGTGAGCTTCCTGGGCTTATTTGGAAAGACTGGATACTCTCTGCGTGATCGGCTTTGCGGCTCTGAATATATATCTTTATGTTGAGAACAACCCTTCATGATGTCATGATTTCTCAAAGAAGCCCCTTATCCCAAAATCCAAAACCGTCACTATTTTTAGGTAAGACCCAAAACCGGCGACTTTCATCAGTGCTAATTATTTTAGGCTACCAGGTTTCCCAGGTAGGAGCTTTTCTACAGTAGCCTCTCCATCGTAAGAACCCTTCCCGAACTTGCAACAAGGGCCCCTAAATCAGGTGATTCCCATCATTAGGGGACATTAGGGTGGTGTTAGATGTTCTCTATCAACTGTGTTGCCCCGCTATATTATACTCATAGTAGGGTGGCCCAATAATTTGCAGTTTCATCTCGGTGGAACTGCTACGGGGGGAACCTATTATCCGAGGGTTTTCTATAGGATCTCCATTTTGAGAAATGTCTAGAAAGTAGGTATTCTCTATAGTAAAATGAGCTAGTTTACAGGAATCCCTGCGCACGATCTGTTTCTAGACCCTACTGCGGGCTAGAAAATTATGTGTTAAGCTTGCAGCTCCTTACTTTCGGGATTGTCATTTTTCGAGGCTTCACGGGAGACCGCTAGCTTGAGAAGAACCAAGTGATGCTCCATTACCTACATGCTGAGCTGCTGGTCTTGAGGCCTCTTGATGTTAATCCGTGATTAGCAGAAGCATCAATCCAGGCTAGCCCCTACGGGTATCCCAAGGTGAGGAAACCCCTTGAGAATTCCTCCTTGCAGATCTCCATGGCATAGAGCCTAAGCCTTGTAAAATCTGGGGTTCTCAAGTCATAGACCTAAGCCGTAACGCCAACAGGTATCCGACCATTTTCCAGACGTTCGAGCCTCTCTTTGCCGACTACCGGAAACTTCGGTATCGAGACATGTACGGGAAGATGCCTGCTGCCAGCATATTACCCGCACCCTCCAGTCGAACAACGACGGAACCATCTAGGAACTTTCAACAACTACCCCGTAGCACAAGCAATACAAGCAGGGGGATGATTTGTGGTTCCGTCACTTGGTTTCTTCGTACGGCCTGGCTGTCTTTCAGTATAACATGTACATGTCCCAACTTGTCCGAGCAAATGGCGGGAGAATTTCTCCATGAGCGATTCGGCTACTGTGTGATTGTTGGAAGTTGGATTCTGAAGGCAGCCTGTTTCGGGATGTAGCTGGCATGAACATGTAACTCGCTAAAAGAAAGCTGCGCAAGGGGTTCGCAGACAAAAAACAGATGAACACAGCGTTCTAGCATGGGAGGAATGCCATAGAACGCTGAACCCTAAACCCTACACCCTTAATAGTAGTTTCCATTTTACTTTCCATCATCCCAGTATAATCCCGATATTACCCCAATGGGCACCTATATCCGCACATATCTACATGTTAGCCAGCGTCCAGCCATAGCCGGCCCATGATCCCCAATTTAACCCAAACATAACCCTCTAAGGGTCCAAGTACCCAATAATCATATACTTACCTAAAATCTGTACTATAATTACTATTACCAATATCCCAAGTACCTAATTATTGGAGACATGGACCCTTAGGGACCCTAATATTTCCCAAGCACTCCCTAGCTCCCAGAGCATGAGTCTGCAAGAGTACCTTTGGTCTAATGGACAAGAAAATGGAAGCTATTATAGTATAGGGTTATATCGGGGGGTGAAATATGGAGGTTACATAGGGATAATGGAAAAGAAAATGGAAGCTACTTTGTGATTCCCCATGTCTCAATTCTTCTATGACGCTTGCCTCTTCTTTGGATCCAAGATCCATTATCCACATGGACGAGTTTGTGGATTGGCTTCTACGAGAAGAGACCGTCTGCGATGCTTCTTCCTTAGCTGCCGTCAGCGCAACAGCTGAGCGTGTTGTTGGACGGTGTCTATCTACGTGTTGGATCCTAGGGCTTGGGAGCCACGTGTTTAGCAAGTTCAGCACTGACAACTCACAAAAACATACAGCAGCGTATCTCCGACAGCAAGTGAACCCGAGAATGCAGCTGCGGAGCTGTCAGGTCACAATGCCGCAGATGCCAAAAAGAGAGACTTGGGCTCAATAGCAACATGCTTTGATAGTAGTTCATACGCACCTGGGCCCCCAATACCCTTCCACAGAGCCCAAATACCTACAAACAGGCCCTACGTACACCCTATTTGGTAGATTCGGTTAACAAGGCGGCCCCTTTTCCGACCACCAAAAAGGAAGCCGGAATTTTGGAAAACCTTGAATGCTATAGAATCCCCATATATCCTTGTGTGATCCATAACACCAAAAGGCCTATATCCTCGTGAAACCCAAAGAAACAAGGGGCCCCTTATTGGGGCCCTGAACCTTAGTACCCCAAACCCTAAAGCCCTAAACCCCAAAACTCCTAAAACCCTAAACCCCTAAGCCCTTATCCTCCAGAAACCTTCTTTTGAAGCTTAGGGTTTAGCTAGAGATTGAGGGTTTAGGGCTTATAGGGTTTAGGATATGAAGGTTTCGGGTTTACGCTTTAGGGTTTAGGGGTACTTTGTGGCACTTAAGTGTATGTCAGACGTAGGGATACTTGTGGATGGATGGTAGCTGGAGGCAAGGTTTCAGCGTAGGTTTTTATATACCTCCCACCCTCATCCCCTACCAGCATATATGGCTGGAATAAGCCATGAGTAGCCCTCAGTGAGGCCTTACGGGGACCTGCCCCCTAGAAAATCTTACTGGTTCTTAGCAGGGAATAAGCGAATATAGCCTAACCCGTATATAATCCCCCTTAAACCCGGAACCCTCACCGTATCTACCATCCTTTCAACTCAGGAGATCTTAAACCCCAGCATAGCCCATTATAGTAGCTTCCATTTTTCTTTTCCAGTATAACCCCAATAGAACCCTAGTATATATACCCCAATATACAACAAGATCCCCTAAACCCTAACCTATAAACCTTAAACCCTAAGCTCCGAAACCCTAAACCCCTAAACCCTAAACCCTCAACTAACTCTAATATGAACTCAAGGAGATCTTAGAGCAAACTGGAATGCTGCAGCCTTACCAAAGTGCACCGGCCCTAGCTACGAGGAGCAGGGCTTTTGACGGAAGGGTCCCAGATTCCAAAGGAAACCCCGGGTTGTAGGGTTCAGAGTTTAGGGCTTAGGGCTTAGGGTCTGGGGTTTAGGGTTTAAGGTTTTGGGTTTTGGGTTTAGGGTTTAGGGCTTGGGTATTATTCTGCATGCTCAAGGTTGATGATAGCTGTCTCTCAGGATAACCTTGCAACCCAGTGCTTACTCATGAAGAAGGCACGAACCGCGATAGACGCGCATATATTCCATGTAAAAACTCCACACATCCGTTCTTTTTTTACAGGCGATGTACACGTTTGGGGTGTCAAAGGCTAGTATTGTGGGTATTTGGGAGCATTCTTGCAGTCAGCAGTGGCCCGAACCAAAGCTCCACTACTCCGTTAGGGAGATCACTCAACTCAGTTTAGCCTTTTAGTTTCGTCCTGTCTACCGTAGAGTCCTGAAGTTCACCATGTATAAGCATAACGGAATTATGAAACCCCCACACCCAGCTCTAACTAAAGGAGTCCCTACATTCCATAGGGTTCGGGATATACCAGGGCAAGGTTTTGTTGTGCGGAGGCACAGCTTCAGGCCGCCCGGCAACCTTCTGTGCCTTGTGGTATTTGTTCCCCTTAAGGCTGCTGAACGTCTTACATCAGGATCCAGACGCCCAAATTTGGCATCCTATATGCAGCGCTAGAATGAAGTGGTAGGCACCCTCCACTCCAAACTCCATAGGCCACAGCCCTCCGACCTAGTAAGCCCCAAAACCTCGTTTGTACGTACTCGTAGGGGAGCTTGACTGCCCGTACAGAGCCCAAAATATAATGTCTGTCCTCGATACAGAAACCCCAAAAGGGATTCCTGTTATTTTTCGTATGAACCCTGTAGAAACCAAGTTGCTGTGTGATTGTTGCATTCTGTTTTCATTTGATCACTCGCCTTGGTTATATAGGTACATAAATGCCGAAGGCCGAATATTCTAAATCCCGCCATCTTCCATTTTCTTGTCCATTGCTTCTCCCGTATGAGTTTGGCCGGACCTTAAAGCACAAACCCAGAGGAGGTTTTCCAAAATACGGGTATTTGGGATCCCAGAATAACAAGGATTGTCGTATTTTTCTGTCTATGTTGGGATGCCGTTTATCTTGGGAAACTATTGGATTCCTTCCAAAGAGACAGGTCTTGGAAGACGACTTGGAAGATTTGGAGGATCTAGAAAGATCCCTGCAGGCGCGGGGCGGTCGGTCCAGTGAGGGTACATATGAGCTATAGTCTGAACTCCTTAAAGGGGCTTATCTAGGGGAGTATTATGGGGTTACTAAGGGGGAGACTAGGAGTTTAGGCTATAATTAGCTTGTATGTCATCAGGGTTGTCAAGCTTATGGTCCCTTATACGGGACACCCAGCATCCTTGAAAGGGACCCAGAAGGGATGATACCTTTGACAACCCCCTGATCTACCTAGACCCCTATACCCTACCGTCCTGTTTAGGATACCTAACTGTACGTCTAGTATATTCTGCATGAGGTACCCTGAAAAGGGGGTAGGGTATAGAGGTCGAAGTAGGGCATAGGATTGAGGGTTTTGGAGGGTCAAGACAGGAAGGTGACAACTCTCCTCGCCTAATACTACCCCCCCCCCGGCACCTTATAGTCCCCTTAAGTAGATAGAATATGGGGTATATGGGGATCTTATTATACTATACCCAAAACCAGATTCTATCTACTTAAGGGAGACTATAAGATCAAATATTCCCATTTGCATATTGTATTGGGAACATTGAATCTTACGGGGGTGGGGGAGGGGGTAATGCCAGGAGAGGGGATCCCCGTATTTGTGGTACTACAGGGTATCCCAAATGAGTAGTATTTTATTTGGGGATACTATGGTACCCAATATAGAGTAGATTATGTCCTCGTTTTGGTTATAGCATTTTATATAAGGAATATTATCTTACTGGGTTTAACCACCAAAAAAAAGGCTACTCAAATTGTCTGGCACGAGGAACCTTGAAGGAGGTTTGAGGCTTTACCCTCCTTTGTAGCTCCTTTTTGGGTAGATTATAATCCCTTAACCAAAAACCAGAACAGACCCAAAAAGGAACTGCATAGGAGCCCTTGGGTAGAGTGCAGAGCTTGAGGCGGGCTGCAACAGCCCTGGGCCGAAAGGCACCTTTGCAAGACGGATGCTAAACAGGGCCTGTAAAACCCTGAACCCTAAACCCCTAAACCCTAAACTGGTGGCCTTCAAAAGCACTGGGACTCCATGTCTATAAATAATACCTACATTGGGCCCCAATGTCTATAAATAGTACCTACATTGGGCTGTTTGGAGCCCTAGGGAAGGTGTTCCCAGAGAGGCCTTTGAAGTCTACAGGTTGTTGCGGCCAAGGTTTTCAGGAGGGCGCGCGGTGCGCGTGGAGTAACTGACTCGGCTTGGCCCAAGCAGCCTGCAGTTCCCTTTAAGGACTCTATATAGGAGAAATGGAAAAGAAAATGGTAACTACTATAGTATATTATGTTATTGGGGATGTAGGGATAACGGAAAAGAAAATTGAAACGACTATTTAGGGTTTAATGTTCGTGGGTTATAGGTAATATGATTATGTAAATTCGCAAGTCACACAGGCACAGGCACTACGGACAAGGAACCCGGTAATTATGTAGGCTACTGCTGGGCTTCTGAACTAACCCAGCGCAAGACTCAAAGGCAGAAACAACGGACCGGCTTCCAGAATTTCTCCCAGGTTTTCCAGCAAGGAAGGATGCGCATCAAATGCAGATCATGCATGTGGATGGAGGTACCTCAAACAGACTTGCAAAATCCCAGCACTGCATGTAGTTTTTGCCACGATCTCACGTACCCATGTATCAGGTGCTTGAACCCTTTATAGGACACCTTTGTGGCGAGCTTCTCGTTCAACAGTCAAGCCCGCGTTGGGCCGAAGCTTACAGCTACCGGGATTTGGGGGATTCCCAGGAATTTCTGGGTTGCTGTTAAGGAGCTTAAATTAAGTTACCATAATGGGTATATTTATATATATATATAGTAAATAATAGGGTTTACCCAATATAGTAACTCAATTTAAGGTCCTTAACAGCATCCCAGATTTTGGATGGCCCCTAGAGCCATGATTAGATGCGTGGTAGTGTTGGAGTATATGGATCAACGGAATCGACCACTACTTTGAGAACTGCCCATATCTAGTGTTTGTGGTTCGAGGAATTTGTGGCACCCATATGCGTAGGGCACAGAGGAGCACACAAGTCTGGAATGCTTGCTTCAGCGGGGCCTTCCAGCCCAGCAGACCCGGTTGTGGCGTCTCACTAAACTGCCAACCCAATAAGCAGGTCTTCCCTCCACTTACTGGTCGCGGCATATAGGTCAAAATTATCACAGTCACCTTGAGATAAACAGCCCGCCTCGATCTGATGAACGCTGTTTTTGTGAGCTTGCTGACAGGAATTACAAAGCTCCAAGGAGGCGGACACTTGTTGGAAATCCGGGTTTGGATATGGTAGTTTCCCTAAATGAGGGACCCAAATTTAGACCCCAAAATGCTATAATCCTGTTGATGGGGACCCTCAATAGGGAAACCCCCATATGGTGCTCTTTGTCTATGACGGCGTCTGAGTTTGATATCCGGAAGGAGTGGGGTTACTGGGTTTCGCTTGAGTACTGCCCTCACTCTGCAACAGTTCGATAGTATTCGTAATATAGTCATATGAAGCCTTCAATATGACCCCTAAGATAGACTGTTATAGGCACTACCCAGGGTTTCGCCTCAGTGCGGGTGAGAACTTGACAGCCCCAAGATTCGAAGTCTAGCAGTTTTGGCCTTGAATGTGTCTGATTCTGCCTCTTTGTGGGGCTTGGAGTTTCGGAATGAAATGGTGTTCTCATGTTTTGCGAATTGGTGACTGCCCGGAATCAGTCATTTCATTTATGCACACATATTGGCACTTTCAGGCTTCATGTGAGCTATGGTTTCAACTCTTAATACCCCCTTAAGAACCTCTCTAATGGTCCCTTCTATAGTCCCTGATATAACCCACATTAAGGAGTTTAGACTATAGCTCATGTATAGAAGACGCCGGACGCGACTCGGAATTCATTCAGGCTAAAGAGGCTAAAGATGATGTCAAGAAGGGCGACGCAGACAAGCATGCCGGAACGCCCAGACTCATCGTGATATCGCTGCTGTACATGGAGAAGGATGAATCGGGACTGGCCAGTCATTACATTTGGGGATGATAGAAGAGCCTTTCAATTGGATCGTTGAGTGTTTGCTAAGAAGATTCTGTGCCTGCAAGAGGCGTTGCGGCATGGGCTTGATAGAGAAGCCTCTGCTCAAGTGTGATTCCCTTCTTTCATGATTGTCTTTCATGATTGACAAATGGTAGTTTCCAATCTTGGGGGACCCCAATAAAGATCCCCAAATACTGAGTATAACCCAAACAGATCCTTATTATTGGGACCCCAAAAATGGTGGTACCACCCAAATCTCTGAAACTTTGAGAACTGGGGTTTATGGGGCCCTTGATGAGACCTTAGCACGTACCAGTCAACTCTGTTGCCTCTTTCAGAATCATCTTCCACGACCATCACTGCAACTATATGGGGGCTTTTGAAAAATTAGGGGTCCTTTTTTTGGAGTGTTTTCCATAAAAAGGATCATAATTCGTGTTTTCGGGTCTCTATGGGCGTCACCACAAGGATTCATCAGTTTGGCGTTATGGGTTCCTCCACCTAGCGAAGGTCACATGATTCAGAGAGCCTGTAAAAGCTTTATTGTCAATCCATGCCACGCGACATATACACATATAGGAATCTCCCAAAATGAGGAGTACCTTTATGGAGGGTACATATATGTATATTTATATACACATATGTATATATGTATACACCTATATGTACACACATACATAGAGAAGGACTACAGTATGTTTGGTAGCTAAGGGGTTGCCCTCTGTGAGAAAACTACCATGTATGTGTATACATATGTCTTTGATCGCTACCGGGCACCCCGCGCGTGTTTTGAGAACCTTCCCTGTCCTGCTGCCACTGAGGCGGACGAAGAGATGGCCCCGGAGAAGGAAGAGAAGCTCAAGGACAGTTGGATTTATCAATCTCTGCTTGGTTCGTCTTGCTAGGTGTTATGCCGACCTAGACAGCAATTGGTATTTGCTGCGAAGATGTCACTCGTGGTTTTGCGGGCCTTCCGCTCAGTGAACAAGTTTGAATGGTCTCCCAAAACTCTGGCAATCAACAAGAAATGCCCGGAGAGGCTAATCTCAAGTCAACTCGCCATAACTGGCGGCGTGCGGGGAGTGGGGACTTTCTGATTTGTGACGCCGATTCATTCTGTGCTTTTGTGCCTACTGCGGGCAGTGACAGGCGGATAGTCTTCGTATTATCGGTGTATATAGCCTCTAGTAGGACCATTAAGATAGACTGTTACAGGTTGGGGGCAGTACCGAGGGTTTCGCCTTGTGTGGGCGTGAACCTGACAGCCCCAAGATTCCAAGTCTAGCGGTTTTGGCCGTGATTGTGTCGGTCTCTGCCTCTTTGTGGGGGTGAGAAGTTTCAAATTTTGAAATAGAATCCTGT